TACTATCTCAAAGATGAATGAGAAAAAAATATATATATATAGTAAGAGCAATCCAGGAGAGAACGTAAGAAGGGAAAGAGAAAAAGAGTAAAAATAAAGGGATAATTTAAAATGTGATTATTCTTATTCATAAAAGATCTATGTCCATATTTCCTACTACAAGAATAAACACTGAAAAAAAATGTGATGATGACACAGTTAAAATATATCATGGTTTAAACTGAAAGGGATTATATGTCTCTGCCTTCTCTTAGTTGCTATAGTGAAACAGGTGTCACAAGCATTTCTTTGCCATCACAATAGATCTACACATGGCCCAAGTGTGTTTCAATGATAGAAAATCTTTCATAAGAAAACTTATCTCATGGCATCTTGCAATTGCATGCCTCCCAAGGAAGTGATATTGGCATAGAAATTCACATTTAGTCTTTCATTTCGATTAAACCCCACAAGTATGTGGTCAGCTCATAGTGTGATACTGGTTTCTAAATTTCCAAACCTGCCCATCTCACCAGAATCTAAAATATTCATGAATAATGTTTTATCGAAACATGTCCATTGGCAATATAATACTTGACAGAAATACTCCTTTATCCAACAGTACACACTTCCAGACATGAGCACATCTTCCTGGAAGACTGAACTATATATTTGTTCATAAATTAATGGAAAATTCCCATTAATTTTTCTCAGGTTCAAACTGTGCCTTATTTTATTCATTCTTTGCTACCTCTTTTAAGATAAATAATGCTGAATGAAATATTTCAGGTTTAGTATTATGTTTTCATTTCATTTTATTTCATTCCATTTTTTTAGGGGGGGGCACATGGACCAAACTCATGACCTTGTGTTTGCAAGGCAGGCAACTGACACTGAGCTAAATTTTTCTTACTGTTTTTTAAAATATTATGTTATTATACATTTTAGATATACAATACAGTTACGTTTATCACTGGGATCTTGTACCTTTACATGACAGGCCTTGATTCTTATTTTTCCCCATTTCCCTACCCTTCCCCCCCCCCCCCCGTCATTCCTTATTTATAAAGACTTTGCTTCCATTGTTCCTTTTCTCTTATTTTTTCTCTTCCCTTTTTACTTTTCTCATACCACTCCCATTTAACCAATATTTTTAGACCTTTCTTCCTTAATAAACTAGCAGATGTGTGTATCTGACAAAGTTTATGTACTGGTCTACAGACAGGGAAAGGGCTTATTATGTTTTCTGACTCATCCTGACTAGAACGTTTTAAAGCTTTACTGGAGGGAACAATTAACAAGAATATCAGGAGCCATAGCCAGGCTTTCCTCCTCTCCCCACCTCCAGTAAAGAAAGAAGAGGACACTACACAACTCTAATACACGTGTGTGTGTGTGTGTGTGTGTGTGTGTATTTTTGTCACTCTAGGGTCAGTATGTTACTGCCCTATATACCAAATCACTAACTAGACCTTGTATGTAAAGTTCCTCTTAACCAACCTATAAATTCCAGAGACAAGGCCCTGATGAGGACAAGCCCACCCACCTAGGAAAGTGCATGTAGAAAGTGGGACCTCAGGGTAGGGTTCAGGGCCTGGGACCCCTCTGTGCCAGACCAGAGAACCAGCCAGGTTGTGAAAAGTGCCAGGTATGGAGCTGGGGAAAGAATCATTTTGATTAAAGAAAGCAGAAGACAAAAGTTCACAGGTGTCAGCCTTTCTGAAGCCCCGTACCTACACCTCACAGGGTAGCTTTCTGTGCTCTCTCTTGGGTTTCCTCTTTCTTTGTAAATAAAATGATTTGTTTTTCCTTTTAAATTTTGTTCCCCTAACTCCTTGTGGTTTAGTTTAAGATCCCAATGAGCTACTCAGACAGCAAAGCTGCAGTGCACATCCCCAGACCCGACAGTGAGGAAACCACATAAAACAACCTTGGCATGAGACAAAATAACCAAATAAAGTAACACCCTAAAGCTATAAAGGCAATAGTTCTAATCATAGTATAATTACACACACTCATGTACACGCTAATTATTCCTCCCTGTGGGGACACTCCTGACTCTTTGGTGTCCTCTGTATTGAGAATGAGGGTGACAGCAGAAGAGAGCATCTGCATACTCTGTGTGCAGGTCCTGGCAAGGGCCCGAGTTCCTCGTACACTCGGGCCTTGCTCTGGGTTGCTGGGTTCTCCAGTGCCTATGAGTCCCTGGGTTCAATCAGAATGGCTCCTATGGATCAATAGATTACATTATGTTTCTGTAATAACATGATGGAAATGTTCCCCCCCATGTAACAATGGAAATAAATTAGCTTTAATTTAATTAAAATTAAAGAATTTCTTAAAATAAGATGTTGTCTACAAGGCCATAGATTCTATGGATCGGTTTACCAAAAAACTGAAATAACATATTTCCTAAATCACGAAGATACAAATGAGTGAGCATAAGATAAAACGATGCTGTATAAAAATACCTGGAGAGTGGAGGGTGGAAATAGTCCATAAATATATGAAAATGCTAAGGCCTTTATATGATGAGAGAAGAGCCCTAACAATATAGTAAAGAGTAAATATTTACTAAATTATTAATCCTAATCATAAGGAAAGAAAGCCAGGAATATCTACAAATACATGTTCTAGAAAAGACAGATAATGAAGTTAATATAAAAGGTTGTAAGTAATATTGATGTAATAATTCTGTCACTGATTTGAATGAATGTGTGATTGATATGCTACATTTAAAAATATTTCTATAAAATAATTTGAATTTTGAAAACAATTTTATAATCATACGTTTGGAGTAAAGCAATCAGTGTAATAATTTTTAAACAAGTTCAAATAAAATAGCTTACTTGGGAAATGGAACTATACATTATAAAAAACCTTAACATATCAAATAGATATTTTAAACTGACATTATAAATGTAGAGAAAGAATATTGCTAAAACCAAGGAGAATTTTTATCCTTCTACTTGATCTAAGATTAAGGACTGCCACATATTGTAAATGTATTTTCAACTCTTTCTTTTTAACAGTTATATTTTAAAAATAGAACATGAGTCAAACGTGATAGTCATTAATTTATTTTTTTCATTGAGTTTATTGGTGCTTTTTAAGTACACAGTACAGTTACATTCATCGTCGGGATTTTGTAATTTATGTGACAGATCTTGATTCTCATTTTTTCCCATACTCCTCCCCTCCCTTCTTGCTCTCCACCCACCCCCGTTTATAAAGACTTTGTTTCCAATTTTTCCTTTTCTTATGTTTTTTCCCTTATTTTCTTTCCCCTACCCTTCCCACATCCCCTACACCTTTAGGTCTTCTCATTCATTTATTTTGAAAGAATACTATAAACCTGAAGACATCAGAAGAAAGCCAAAGAAGCAAGTGGCTTAAGTTTATTTCCATGTCACAGAAGGGTTTGTTCTCCACATGGCCCATAAGAATGTATCTAACAGCATTTATTGCTTATTAATTTTTTTTATTTTTTTTCTCAGCTTTAATTGAGTTTATTGGTACATTTTAGGGATACAGTACAGTTACATTCATTGTTGGGATCTTGTACCTCTACATGACAAGTCTTGATTCTCATTTTTTCCCCTTGTCCCTGTCCTCCTTCACCCCCTCCTCCCCTCCCCATCTAAAAACACTTTATTTCCATCTTTTAATTATCTCACACTTTTTTCTTTTGCCTTATTACCCTTCCCCTACCCATCCCACCTTCCCTACACCTTTAGCTCCTTTCTTCCCATTTCTAAATGTCAGTAATCTTATTAGGATCTTATGTATTATTGCAGATTATTCACACACTAATTTTTAAATTGGTAAATTCAGTGCATTTTAGGTTCAAAGCACTATACAATGAAATTAGCAATTTTTCTCGTACTGTGAGTACATGGAAATCTCACATGTTTTAAATATAAAGAGTTTATTAGATAGTAAACTATAAGGTGATTTAAGAAAATGGAAAAATTATACAGGGAATGGCAGGAATTGTGCTAAATATATACGGGCATATAATAATCACAACTGATTTAGAAAAGCATGCAATAAACAGGCAACCTTCTCTATGTATTTTTCTTTTATAATAGTCTTGTCTTCAACATTAAGATATGACACTTTCCTATAACTAAATTGTACTTCAATATATTAGCTGATCCTCAAGTGGAAACTGCTGCCCTATTCTTTTAGTAATTAGTAAATTAACTTTTGTAATTAGTAATTTAGTAATTTAATAAAGTAAACTGAGAAGAGATTTGTAAAACATAAAGGAATACTATTCAGAAATATGTAGAGTTTATCATGTCAAAATATTACAGGAATCTAAACCTTCTAGTGATAATGGCAGAAACTTATTTTATTGTCCTAAGAGTTTTATGTCTATCTTCTGATAAGAGAGACATAGAATTATTATGTATCATGGATTTGGGCATGTAGAACATTATTATTTCAGTGAATTAGTGTTTGTCAAAAGCTAGAGAAGCATCAGGTCTAGAATGTAAATGCAGTAATCTTGACTTCAAAGCAAATGTCCAATATTGCCCTAAATTTTACTACTGAAAATTACTATAAAAATAATGACACTTGAAAAACAAATTGATTTTTCAATGTAAAATTATTTTAAAATTGAGATTTGCAGAAATACTGTGTCAAAATAGATCATAAAGTTACACAAATTTTCACTTTTGCATAGAGTTTTTCTTTTACTTTGGTAAAGAATATCAAACTCAGGTCTTTGTACTTGCAAGTCAAGGCAGCAGAACCACTGCACTAAATCCCCAGCCCAAGAATTATTCATAATTGTACAGATTGTTACACCTTACATTTAACAATTGATGACTCCAAAACATAATATGAATTTGCAAGTACCTATCTGTCAAAATATGCAGCATAATGTCTGTTAAGTAAACAGCAGATGGAAAAGGGAAAAACAGATTTATTTAATTTTATACAATGAAAGAGAAAACATTACATGAGAAAAAGACAAGAGGAAAAGTGTAAATGCCTAGTTAGCATCACTGTTATTTTAATTGTCTAGAAACCACTCTCTTTAGCAGGACTCTCAGGGCAGCGTTCTTTACCTCTTTGTTTCTGAGACTGTAAATGAGAGGGTTCAGCATGGGGATCACAATCGTGTAAAACACAGAAGCCACCTGATCTCTTCCTAAGGAGTAGGACTTCTTTGGTTTTAGGTATGTAAATATCATACTGCTATAAAAGATAGTGACTCCCAGGAGGTGGGAGGCACAGGTGGAGAAGGCTTTTTTCTTTCCTTCAGTGGAATTAATTTTCAGGATAGTGGAGAGGATGGACAGATAGGATCCGGATATGGTGATGAGGGACACTACTAGGGAGAAGCCAGCAAAAATAAGTATAATGATTTCAACCTCATATGTATCGCTGCAAGACAGGGCTAAAATTGGAGATGAGTCACAGAAAAAGTGCTGGACGACATTAGAGTCACAGAAGCGCTGTCTGCTCATGGAAATTGCAACCACAGAAGAATCAACAAAACCAATAACATAGGAGCCAGTGAGCAAGGCACAGCACAGTCTTCTGGACATAATGACTGGATAGTGCAGGGGGCGGCAGATAGCTACATAGCGGTCATAGGCCATGGAGGAGAGAAGGAAACATTCGGTGGCAACAAAGACTATAAAAAAGAACATCTGGGTGAAGCAGCCCAGGAAGGAGATGCTCTTGTTGAAAGTCAGTAAGTTCTGCAAGGTTTTAGGCGTGATGACACTTGAGTAGCTGAGGTCGAGAAATGACAGGTGAGTGAGAAAAAAGTACATGGGGGTGTGCAGCTGGGGATCCAGGCGAATGACCAATATCATCCCAAAGTTCCCCAGCACCGTGATCAGGTAAATCAGGAGGAAGAGCACGGAGAGGACCAGCTGTGTCTCTGCAGAATCTGTCAGCCCCATGAGAATGAAGCCAGGCACACTGGTGGAGTTCCATCTACCCATGGTGCTCTGGTGCACTTTGCTGTTGGATAATAAATTTTAGTAATTACCCTGTCTCCAAAATACTTTTGTTTATGTGAATGGCTCAGTATTTTCCATAGTGTTCCTAGAAATTGAAGAAAACCATTGTGAACAAGGGTGAAATAAACACCATGTAT